TCCATTCATGTCGCAAGTGGCAAGATTTTATTCTTTTTTATGGCCGAGTAAAATTTCATTCTGTGTATATAGCACATTTTCTTTATCTGTTCATTAGCTGATGGACACTTAGGTTACTTCCATATTTTGGCTATTGTAAATAACACTGCACTAAATATGGGTTGCATATATCTTTTCCATTTAGTGTTTTCTTCCCATGTTTTTTTGTCCATATGGTTTCTAAGCCACTACCCCCTTGTTTCTTGGTTGGTATAGAGGTCTACCTGTCTCTGTAGGTTGTGAAGCCCTTGAGGGAGGGGATTTTTGTCTTACCTGTTTAGATTATTGGCTACATAATAGATGCCAAATAAGTATTTTTTAAGTTAAGTTATTCTGTAGATTAATATTTCAACTAAGGTATTTTACAGCTTTAAAATTATAGAGATAATATGATCTGAATATTAACATCTTCCACACTGTTCTAATTTTATTTAGTAAATGGCAGAAATTATTTACCTTTTATTTATTTATTTATTTATTTATAATTAATTTATTTTTGTTACAGATGTTTCTCCTTTTTCCCTCACTGATTCCTCCCTCCCACTCCCTCCCTACCCTGTCCCCAGCTTTGTTGTCCATGTCCATTGTTCATGCACACATGCATATAAGTTCTGTGGTTTATCTCTCCCCCACCACCCCCTCTTCTGGGTATTGTAAGTCTGTACCTCACTTCCCCATCTCTGGGACTACCCCATTCCTCAGATGTTATGTTTATTATATTCCACAAATAAGTGAGATCATATGGTACTTGTCTTTCTCTGCTTGGCTCGTTTCACTTAGGATGACACTTTCCAGGTCCCTCCATATTGTCTCAAAGGATAAGAGATCTTTTTTTCTTACAGTTGCATAGTACTCCATTGTGTATATGTACTACAGCTTTTTTATCCATTTGTCTACTGATGGACATTTGGGCTGTTTCCAGATCTTAGCTATTGTAAATAGTGCTGCTATGAACATGGGGATACATATATTCTTTCTGATTGGTGTTTCAGGCTTCTTAGGGTATATTCCTAGAAGTGGGATCACTGGGTCAAATGGAAGTTCAATTTTTAATTTTTTGAGGTAACACCATAGTGTTTTCCATAGTGGCTGTACCAGTGTGCATTCCCACCAGCAGTGTACTAGAGTCCCCCTTTCTCCACATCCTCACCAACACTTGTTGTTTGATGAATTGTTGATGGCGGCCATTCTGACAGGTGTGAGGTGATACCTCATAGTTGTTTTAATTTCCATCTCTCTGATGATTAGTGATGTTTAACATTTCTTCATATGTCTCTTAGTCATTTGTATGTCCTGTTTGGAGAGGTGTCTATTTAGTTCCTCTGCCCATTTTTTAATTGGGTTCTTTGTCTTCCTTTTGTTGAGCTGTACAAGAATTCTATATATATTGGAAATTAACCCTTTATCTGATGTATCATTGGCTATAGTACTCACCCATACAGTGGGTCACCTTTCCATTTTGGTGGTTGTTTCTTTTGCTGTGCAGAAGCTTTTGAGTTTGATGTAGTCCCATATGTTCATTTTCTCCTTTGTTTCTGTTGCCTTAGGTGATGTATCGGTGAAAATTCTGCTGCGTATGATGTCTGAAATTTTGTTGCCTACATTTTCTTCTAGGATTTTTATGGATTCATGAGTCACATTTAAGTCCTTTATTCATTTTGAGTTTATTCTTGTGTGGGGTGTAAGTTGATGATCTAGTTTCATTTTTTTGCATGTAGCTGTCCAATTTTCCCCAACACCATTTATTAAAGAGGCTGTCTTTACTCCACCATATGCCCTTGACCCTTTTGTCAAATATTAATTGAGCATATTGCCTTGGATCCACTTCTGGGTTCTCTATTCTGTTCCATTGATCTCTGCCTGTTCCTGTGCCAGTACCAGGCTGTTTTGATTACAGTAGCTTTGTAGTATAACCTAAAATCTGGTAATGTGATCCCTCCAACTTTGTTCTTCTTTTTCAAGATTGCTGTGGCTCTTCGAGGTCTTTTTTAGTTCTATATGAAGTTTTGGAGTATTTGTTCTAGTTCTGTGAATTATGTCATTGGTATTTTGATGGAGATTGCATTGAATCTATAGATTGCTTTGGGTAGTATGGACATTTTAATGATGTTAATTCTCCCAATCCATGAACAAGGTATGTGCTTCCATTTTTTTATATCTTCCTCTATTTCTTTTTGCAATGACCTGTAGTTTTCTGTGAATAGGTCCTTTGTTTCTTTGGTTAAGTTTATTCCTAGGTATCTTATTTTTTTGCTGTGATGGTAAATGAGATTGTTTTTTTAGTTTCTCTTTCTGTGAGTTTATCATTGGTGTATAAGAATGCCATAGATTTCTTAACATTAATTTTGTATCCTGCTACTTTGCCAAATCCATTTATTAAGTCTAGTAGATTTTTGATAGAGTCTTTGGGGTTTTCTACGTATAGTATTATGTCATCTGCAAATAATGACAGTTTCACTTCCTTGTTTCCAATTTGGATCCCTTTTATTTTTTCTTCCTGTCTGATTGCTGTGGCTAAGACTTCTAGTACTATGTGAAATAAGAGTGGCGAAAGTGGGCATCCTTGTCTTGTTTCTGTTCTTAAGGGAAATGCTTTTAATTTTTTCCCATTGAGTATGATGTTGGCTGTAGGTCTTTCACATATGGCCTTTATTATGTCGAGATATGATCCCTCTATTCCCAGATTGCTGAGCGTTTTTATCAGAAATGGGTGCTGGATTTTGTCGAATGCTTTCTGCGCATCTATTGATATGATCATATGATTTTTATCTTTCATTTTGTTTATGTGGTGTATCACATTTATTGATTTGCCAATATTGTAACAGCCTTGCATCCCTGGGATGAATCCCACTTGGTCATGGTGAATAATTTTTTTGATGTATTGCTGGATTTGATTTGCTAGTATTTTGTTCAGGATTTTGGCATCTATGTTCATCAGGGATTTTGGCCTGTGGTTTTCTTTCTTTGTAGTGTCTTCTCTGGTTTTGGAATTAGAATTATGTTGGCTTCATAAAACGAGTTTGGAAGTCTTCCTTCTTCTTGAATTTTTTGAAATAATTTGAGGAGGATGGGTATAAGTTCTTCTTTGAATGTTCGGTAAAATTCCCCTGTGAAGCCGTCCGGGCCTGGGCTTTTGTTTGCTGGGAGAGTCTTGATTACATCTTCAATTTCTTCTGTTGTTATTGGTTTGTTCAAGTTTTCTATCTCTTCCTGGTCCAGTTTTGGGGAACTATGTGTTTCTAGAAATTTGTCCATTTCACTTAGATTGTCGAATTTGTTGCAAATTGTTTACCTTTTAAAAAATATATGTCTTTATTGATTTTAGAAAGAGGAAGGGAAAAGGAGACAGAAACATTGATGAAAGAAACATCAATCAGCTGCCTCCTGCACATCCCCTACTGGGGATGGACCCTGCAACCCAGGCATGTGCCCTGATCAGGAATCAAACTGGCAACCTCTCAGCGTACGGGACAACGCCTGACCAACTGAGCCAATATACCCAGGGCAGAAATTATTTATCTTTACTGAAGAACTCCTTTGGCATCATAGTTTGTTTAGCATGAACCTTTTTTGTTTATTTGTTTTATCCTCACCTGAGGACATTTATTTATTTTTTTGCATTTATCTTCAGATAGAGTGGGAGGGAGAGAGGGAGGAAGAGAGAGAGAGAGAAACATCGATATGAGAGAGACACATCGACTGGTCGCCACCCACACAACCCCAACTGGGGCCGGGGACAAACTGCACCCGAGGTACATGCCCTTAGCGAGAACCAGATCCAGGATCCTCCGGTTCGCGGGCCAACGCTCTAACCGCTGAGCCAAAGTGGCCAGGGCCTTTTTTTTTTCTTAAACGTAATTTGTTTAAATTTAAAGTTCTGTGTCTAGGAAAGTGAAATGTTCACATTGCGAAACTCTAAAAATAATACTGGAGAGATGATGCCAAATCAGTGGTTAAAATCAGAAATGCTTTCTGTATCCAGCATCTAAATGAGAACTAATTACTGAATCAGATCACAGTTACTAGGCATTCATTGTTTTTAGGCAATTAACAACAGTACTGAGAAATCTAAGTAATGAAATATTTTTAACACTCTCCAGTTTTGTTTAGAGTTCTCATGCGTTGTGATGATCAAGTGTTCCTTATATGCAAGATGTAATATGAATGATTTTATCTTACAATAAAGTTTGAATGACGAATATCACTCTCATTCTCTTAGTTGGTAGATAGGTTCCCTCAAATCAGATCCCACTGCTCATATATTGTTTTATTTAGGATTCATTTAGAAACAAGTGCTTTTATTTTGCTCTGTAATTTACTGAATTGGCTGAGATCAAATTTACTAAGGACGTTTCCTGTAATTTCTACGGAGAAGTATAAGGTTGAATACGCCTGTTATTGAAACTGTCATGTTTCTCTAGAAGTGATTTAACAGTCCTTGTTGGTCTGTCTCACTAGGCTTGGCAATATTAATTTCGGGAACATTTGCTGCTGTTGTTAATCCTCACCCGAGGATATTTTTTCCACTGATTTTTTTTAGAGAGAGTGGAAGGAGTGAGGAAGGGGGGGAGAGAGAGAGAGACATCGATGTGAGAGAGATACATCGATTGGTTGCCTCCCACACGTGCCCGGACTGGGGCTGGAGATAGAACCTGCAACCCAGGCATGTGCCCTTGACCGGAAATCGAACCCAAGACCCTTTGGAATGTGGGCTGGTGCTTTAACCATTGAGCACACTGGCCAGGGCTCAGGAGCATTTCGATGTTGCTTAATTCTTTTCTCCTTATTTGGAGACATTTTCTCTTTATTTCATATATAAGGCATAAGGTTTTTAATAATATAACTGATCAGCGTGTCAGCATAATTTATGATCCACTTAGTAACTTAATAATATGCGTTAGAGATCATTTAAGTTCTAGATATAAACTGTTAAATAATTTAATGCTTATTTTTTTCAACAGATGTGAATTATTAAAAAAGAAAAATGGCCCAACGGAGCACAGCATTTCCTTCTCTTGTCACCAAGGAAAGGTATAATATATGGAAAATATGCATCTAAGGTATACTTTCTCTTGTTACCAATCCCATGAGGGCTGCTGGTGGGTGTGGTGGCCATCGCGAATGTAGCCTGACAGCTGTGACACTATCCGAGCGAGATTTTGTTCTAGGGCAAGAGCGGTACTGTCGTGTACCCTCTCCAGCTCCCAGTTTGCAGGGTGCTGTGGACCACTCAGTGACCGTGAAAGGTGAAGACTTCACAGTGGCCTACAGTATGGACGTACTTCTCGTCAGCAGTAAACTATAATTCTGGAGACTTGGAGGGCTGATGTCCCTGCTCGCCCTTTCAAATCAGAAGTTGCAAAATGGGTGTCCGAGGCCAATATTGGCTCATAGAAGTACATTATTTGATCTGAATCATCTTAAATACTTTCCAAATGAGTTGTTATATCACTTAAAATGTAGCTGATTTCACATACAAGCCTGGATTTCCTGAAATATCAGATGATCTGGAAAAGTGTACTGGCGTCCCCAGATGGCCCCTCGCGGCGCAGCGGAAGGGAGGCTGCCTCTGGTTGAGGAGTGCTCCTCCCGGCTCTCCCAAGTCCCTATGGCGCCGTGCATGGTGCGCTTTACTCATTTCCGTCGCCTGCCTGACCTTGTAGGCGTTTGGGTTTGTGACCGGTGTTTTAGGGGGAGGAAGCCAGAGGGCTTGTCAGATATTGTTAATAAGCTTGATCTTGATAACACAGCTTATATTGGGGAGACATCTCAGTGTGCCCAGTTCTGCCAGCCTCTTGCTTTTGGAGATCATGGAACCTACTACCAGCACTTTGCTCTCTGGGGACCGGCGGAAACTGCCTCAACTCTCACTTAGCTTGTAGGGGCAGATCGTGTGCATGTTCTTCTCCGAGAAGTCTTCCATCTAGCTTTAAACATGGCCTTTTCCCCGACGGACAACCCCAGTAACGTGGCTGCTTTCCGCAGGCGAGTCCGAACCATGCCCCGACACAGCCAGTCCCTGACCATGGCCCCCTACTCCTCCGTGAGCCTAGTGGAGCAACTGGAGGACAGGATCCTGTGCCACGAGAAGACGACCGCGGCCCTCGTGGAGCACGCCTTCCGCATCAAGGACGACATCGTCAGCAGTTTGCAGAAAATGCAGAACAAAGGGGGAGGCGACCGGTTGGCCAGGCTCTTCTTGGAGGAGCACATCAGAAACATAACTGCCATCGTGAAGCAGCTCAATCGGGACATCGAGGTGAGTCGGGCGGGCGTGTTCCCTGGCAGAGACCAGTCCCACGCGGGAGGTCGGCAAGTCCCCACCCCGGCCCAGCGCCTTCCCACCAAAGCTGTCTGTCTTCTCTGTTCTTAATGGTCGCCAAGGAAACAGCTTGAACAAATATCCTAGTTAAATTTCTTCCAGGATTTGACAGCCGTTCCTGTCAGCGTTATTTTTGTTTAATCTAAGTTTACCTTGCTGATTATTACATCACTTGTTTTTTTGGCTCTCAGTGGAGAGTGAGAACTAGTCATATTGTTGAAGACAGCTATTAAATCAATTACTAGGTCAGCCTTTGCTCTTCTGATTAAATATTTCTAGGTCATGATGATTAGATATAATAAAGTTTATTACTCAGACGACCTAGAGATTTGAATTGCTTCTCAGACTCCTTTTTTATTTCTTTATTTTTCTCTGTGATGAGCCCAATGAAAGGCCAATATTGTCTATTTTTAGGATTTGTAAATTTACTGCTATTTATTGAGCAATCTCAGGGATCACACAATTTAGTTCAGAAACCTTGAGATCATTTAGGGCCTGGGCTTCCATCACTGAACAATGTTAATATCCTTCCATGTAATTTTTAAATATGCTAATAAAAAGTACATTGACAAGATTAAGGAAAATTTTTGTTTAAAGTCATAGAGATGGTGTCTTAATTATGCTTAGGAAATTAAACCTCATTTCTTTGGTGTCAGATTTGTACGTATGCATGTAAGTACGTACGTACGTACGTATGTATGTAACAGCCTTATTGAGTTATAATATACAAGCCACAAAAATTCACCCATTGTAAGTGTACAACTCAGTGAGTTTTGGTAAATTTATAGAATTGTGTATCCATAAACACCATTTAGTTATAGAACACTTCTGTCAGACCACCAAATTTATATAAACCTATTTGCAATCAATTCCTACCAGTACACCGGCCCCAGGCAACCACCAATCTGCTTTTTGTCTCTATGACTTTTGTCTTTTCTGGACATTTCATAGAAATGGAATGTTCTGAAGTCTTCTGCATCTGGTTTCTTTCACTTAGCATAATCTTTTTGAGTTTCAGCTGTGTTCTAAAATGTTCTTTTTATGTCTGAGTAGTATCCTGTTGTATGGATATACCACATTCTGTTTGTCCCTTCATTACTTAATAGACATTTGGATTGTTTCCAGTTTTGAGCTGTTATGAATAAAGCTGCTGTGAACACTTGTGTACAAGTCTTTCTGTGGGCATATGTTTTCGTTTCTCTTGGGTAAATTACTAGGAATGGAATTGCTAGGTCTTATAGTAAGCTTTGGTTTAACTTTTTAAAACATACCCAAACAATTTTGCAAAGTGGCTAAATCATTTTACAACTCACCAGTAATGTATGAGGTTTCCAGTTTTTCCACATCCTCACCAACATGTGGTATTATCTGTCTTTTTAATTATAGTCATTGTAGTTAGTGCATGTGTGGTGGTATTTCATGGTGGTTTTAATTTGAATTTTCCTAATGACTGATATTGAGCCCGTTTCATATGCTTATTGATCATTTATGTGTTTTATTTGGTGAAATACATACTCAAGTCTGCTGCCTATTTTAATAAATTAATTTTTTATTGTGGTAAGGTATTTACCAGTGTAGCCATTTTTTTTTTATCCTCACCCGAGGACATCTGTCCATTTTTTGTTCAAATAGAGTGGGAGGGAGAGGAAGAGAGAGAGAGAGGAAGAGAGAGAGAGAGAGAGAGAGAGAGAGAGAGAGAGAGAGAAACATCAACATGAAAGGGACACATCGAGTGGCTGCCACCCGCACGACCAACCAGGGCCGGGGACAAACTGCAACCAAGCTACGCGCTTTTAGCGGGAACCGAACCTGGGTCTCTCTGGACTGCAGGTGAACGCTCTAACCGCTGAGCCAAACCGGCCTGGGCCCATTGTAGCCATTTTTAAGTATAGAATTCAGTGACATTAATTACATTCACAGTGTTATATGCAATCATCACCACTCTCCATTTCCAAAGCATTGTGATCATCCCAAACAGAAACTCTGTATCCATTAAACAATAATTTTCCATACCACCCTTCCCTCAGCCTCTGGTAACTGCTATTTTACTTTCTGTCTCTCTGAATTTGCCTTTTCTAGGTACATCATATAAGTGGATTCATATAGTATTGTCCTTTTGTATCTGGTTTATTTCACTTAGCATGTGTTCATGTTTCATCCATGTTGTAGCAAGTGTTAGAACCCATTTTTAAATTGGGTTATTTGTCTTATTATTTAGTTGTAAAAATTTCATATGTAGTCTAGATATAAGTCCTTTATCAGATATGTGATTTGCATATAAGCCCATTCTGTGGCTTATATTTTAAATTTCCCAATGGTGTCTTTTGAAGTGCGAATTTTAAATTTTAATGAAGTCCAACTCATCAGTTTTTTTCTTTTATAGTTTATACTTTTAGTCCTGTGTCTTAACTGTTTGCTTAACCCAAGTTTGCAAAGATATTCTCTTATTTTCTTCTAAAGTTTTAGTGGTTTTTTTTTTTTGGTTTTTTTTTTGTTTTTGTTTTTGTTTTTGCATTTATCTTCAGATAGAGCCAGAGGGAGAGAAGGATGAAGAGAGAGAGAAACATTGATGTCGACTGTTTGCCACCCACACGACCCCAACTGGGGCTGGAGACAAACTGCAATCGAGGTACGTGCCCTTAGTGGGAACTGAACCCAGGTCTCTCCGGTCCAGTGGGCCAACGCTCTAACCGCTGAGCCAAACTGGCCAGGGCTAGTTCTTTATATTCAGTGATTCAGTTTGAGTTAATTTTTATATATGAAGTAAGGGAAAGATCTAAGTTAATTTTTTTCTGTGTGCATGGCCTAGGAAAATCTATCATTTTCCCATTTGTCCCTTTGTTTAAAGTCAATTGACCATAAAATAAAAGGGTTTAATTCTGGATTCCATTGATCTGCATGGTTTTCCTATGCCAATACCACACTGACTTAATTTCTAGCTTTAGAGTACATTTTGAAAGCAGGTAGTGTAGGTCCTTAAACTTTGTTCTTCTTCTTAAAATTGTTTTGGCTATTCTAGGTCCTTTGCATTTTCATATAAATTTTAAGGTCAGGTTGTTGGTTTCTGTAGAAAAGCCTGCTGAGATTTTGACAGAAATTACTTTGAATGTATAGATCAATTTTGGGAGAATTACTGTCTTAACAATATTGAGTCTTTGATTGTTTCAAAAACCAATTCTTGCCTGGCTGGTGTGGCTCAGTGGATTGAGTGTAGTCCCATGGACGGAGAGGTCCTGGTTCGATTCCTTGTCAGGGCATATGCCCAGGTTGCAGGCTTGATCCCCAGTGGGGTGCGTGCTGGAGGCAGCTGATGGATGTCTCTCTCTCACAGCGATGTTTCTATCTCTCTCCCTTCCTCTCTCTCTAAAAAAAAAATCAATAAAAAACATTTTAAAAAACCCAATTCTTGGTTTTATTAGCTTTTTCTATTGCTTTTCTGTTTTTTACTCTATTGATTTCAACTCTACATTATTTCCTTTTTTCCTGCTTGCTTTGATTAAGTTTGCTTTTTCTCTTTTATTTTCTCAGGGTAGAAAGAAGCTTAGGTAATTAGTCCAAGATATTTTTTTCTGATAATGATGTTTAAAGCTACAAAGTGTACTCTAAGCACTGCTTTAGCTGCTTCCCATGAATTTTGGTATGTTGTGTTTTCCATTCAGTTGAAAATATTATAAACCTTCCCTTTTGGTTTTAATGTTGTCTAATGTGTTATTTAGAAATCTGTTGTTTAATTTCCAAATGTTTGGGGTTTCCCCAAATTTACTTCTGTTGTGGATCTCTAATTTACTTCCATGTGGGCAGAGAATATACTTTGTATATTTTTAATCTCTTTAAATGTATTAAAATTCTTGTTCCATCAATTACTGAAATATTCAACTCTCATTGTTGAATTGTCTATTTCTCCTTTCTCATTGTTGAATTGTCTATTTTGGGCCTCTGTTTGGTGAATATAGAGTGGGGCAAAAGTAGGTTTACAGTAGTTCCTATAGAAAATAATACAATAAGTAATAAATAATAACAAGAATAAACTCTGTGTTTTGCCTGCTCACAACTGTAAATCTACTTTTACCCCTCCCTTACATTATAGTTGTATATATCTTCCTGAAAAATTGACCCTTTTATTATTATAAAATGTCTCCCTTTGTCTTAGTAATATTTCTTGTCTTAAAGTCTATTTTGTCTGATATCAATATAGCTGTCCAGCTCTTTTATGGCTACTGTTTGCATAATTACCTTTTTTGATAATTTTCACTTAGCTTATGCCTAAGTGAGGTCCTAGTCTTCCACATGGTTACCAACTTTCACTCTTCTTTGAAATTCTCATGTATCTTTAGTGAGGACTGAGATTCACTCAGTATTGTACCCTAAAGTTCATTTGTCTTTAGGTTTCTAAAGTTTCTGATCTATACTTCTTATGATGTTTATAGGGCTATGTGCTTGGTATTCAAGGGATGTAGCAGATCTTTGTTGCTTTGGAGAATGGTGGCATCCATTCAAATTCCTTTGTCACAGAAATTTGATTTTCTTTTGGGATTTATTTTTCTTTCATAGGATACAAACTGGATGGCTGTTAGTCAGGGTGCCTTATCACCTTTTTAGCTAAAGAGGTTTGGAGTTTATAACTCAGGCTAGAACACTGAGATGCTCACTTCCTACAACTTGAAACCTGAGCAGAGTGATCCAAGGACTAGAAAGGACTGGAGAGTCTCCCCTGAAGCAGGTGTGCCTGCGGGATACTGGCCAGTGGTCTTGGCTGCCCGGACCCTAGGAAATGCCTTTTGTGTCTTTTCTCAGTTGGGATCCCCAGCTGCCTTGTGTGTACTTCTCCCCTATATCCTGCCAATAAATTCCATGTCCTCCCCAAAGTTAGCCAGAGTCAGGTTCAATTGTCTGCAACCAAAGAGTTCTAATGACATCAGAAGGGGCATTTAAAATTT